AGAATACATACTTTAATATATTTTTTAAACCAGCGCTTTGTTTTGCTTTAAGCAGAGAGAACAATGTACCACAGGCTGCATTTTATGAATGGGCTGCAGAATGCAGAATGCAGTGGAGTACCCCAATGGTTTACAGTGGAGAGTAGAAAGTGATATCACCAACATAAATGAGCCCCGAAGTGTCATTGTTCTGCTTTACAATGTCAGATTTGTCCAGAAACTTTGAGAAAGTGGAATCATGCTTTAAGGACAGCACGTTCTTTGTTGAACTTAAAAACACAAAATTCTTGCCCTTTTTTCTTTTCAAACATGGGTTAGAAGAGAACATAATGGTCTCTTTATAAACAGAAACTCAACACAAGACTTAGGAATGTTTTGTCTGCATGACTCCATAAACGTATAGCTGGTAAAGAAAGTGCCCAGTGTAACAGTGTAAGATTTGCACACACTGGCAAGTCCAAGAATATCCCATGCTCTTCTAGTGGTGGGTATTAAAACTTCTCCAATGTTAAGAAATATGTCAACACATTTCAACTGAACCACACGTATAAGATTTAAAGAAGAAAAAAAAAATGTAATGTAAAAACTATTTTCAAACTCAAATTTTCATACAAATGCCATACAGAGATTGTGATGGCAGATGTAAGAAATATGTTCAGTTTTGATTTATTTATTTAGCTTTTTTTAGCTGTATAATCTTTCGGCTTTCATTTTTGGGTCTTAACGGAGAACTTAAGGGAAAAATAACTAATATACTTGTATAATATCACATTATTTTCATATAATATATACTGCATATACAGTACTGTGCAAAAGTTATAGGCAGGTGTGAAGAAATGCTGTAAAGTAAGAATGCTTTAAAAAATATATATTTTTAATTGTTTAATTTATTCAACTTACAAAATGCAAAGTGAACAAACAGAAGAAAAATAAAATCAAATCAGTGTTTGGTGTGACTATCCTTCGGCCTCAAACCAGCATCAATTTTTCTAGGTACCCACAGTGCTTGTATTAAAGATTTTGAAGGAACTAAAAGGAATGAGGTAGGTTGTTCCATCTCGGAGAACTACCCACAGATCATCTCTGAATGTTGGCTGTCTCATACTCTTCTGGCTCTTCATGTAATTCCAGACAGACTCAATGATGTTGAGATCAAGGCTCGGTGGGGGCCAATCCATCACTTCCAGGACTCTTTGTTCTTCTTTACTCTGAAGATAGTTCTTAATAACATTCTCTGAATGTTTTTGTTGTTGCCCTGCTGCAGAATACATTTGGAGCCAGTCACACATCTCCTTGGTGGTATGGCTTGATGGATAAGTATCTGTCTGTATTTCTCAGGATTAAGAACACCATTGATTGGGCAACGTTGAGGACCATAGATGCAGATATTGGTCAAGGAAACTTAATGCAGCAGATGAAAGTCACATCATGCTTACTTCCCTTCGACATCAGAAGATGTCCAGCACTTATCAGCACAAAAATGGCAGAAACCAGTGGGACCCAGGTATACCTACCTACTGTTTGGAGAAGTCTGACCAGGATTGGTATACGTTGAAGAATTACGGCCAAAAAGCCATATATCTGACTTGGAAACAAGCCTAAGTGTCTCAATTATGCACGAAAACAAGGAACAGGAACTGGGGTGCAAAATGTCAGCAGGTGCTCTGGACTGATGAATCAAAATTTTAAATATTTAGCTTCAATGGGAGGCAGTTTGTTTGCTGAAGGTCTGGAGAGTTGTACAATAATGAGTGTCTGCAGGCAACAGTGAAGCATTGAAGAGGTTCCTTGAATGTGATTGGCTCCAAATGTGTTCTGCAGCAGGACAACGACCCCAAACATACAGCCAATATAATTAGGAGCTATCTTCAGTGTAAAGAAGACTATATCAACTGGGAAAGCTGCCATCTCTGAAGGCTGTTCTGCTAGTTCAACTTCTGTTCACCTAGGCCTTGGCTATCGCAGAGTCTAGAACCCCCACCTGCAGCTACAGAATCACCTTTGAGGAGTCTTCACCTTTGAGGTTCAAGTCTACTGCCACCTCATTAGAAGGCATCTGGAAGCTAAGTCTGGGTATCTATCCCTTGGCCTCATGAGTAAAAGACTGTTTGCTGATCTGGGTGACATTTGGTGCTGCAAGAAGATAAGAGCCATTGTAGTCTTATGGGGTATGGATTTTGCAATGACCCCTAATCTGGCCTTTCCCTTTCAATCTCAGTGGTCAGGACAATGAAGTTAGTGTCCTTTTTGCTAAACCTTGTACTTATCGCAGTATCCTATTCCCTACATCCATCCTCTGTTACAGGTTTACTCAGCATTAAAACTTGAAAAGACATCTCCTAGACTGGTCACTGGGTCAGTGTTCATGGAGTTATTGAAGTATGCATGCTGGCATCAGGCGAAGAACCAGGGGCTGACTGACAACTTTTGGCCCAGGGGCAATAACAACCCAGAAGCCCATGGTGCAGCAACTTGGTCCCCCTCATGGTCTCCCACTTCTCTGCCTTCTCCCATTAAAATATTCCCAACATCTTGACATGTCTCACCAGGCCTTTTTGTGGCATTGGAACAGTATAGGCTTCTTTCTGGCAACTCAACCATGCAGCTCATTTTTGTTCAAGTATTGTCGTATTGGGGTCCCTAAAAACAACTGCACTATGTTTTTCCAGTTTCCTGTGGGTTTTTCTTTGCATCCTGAACATTTCTTCTGGAAGTGGTTGCAATCTTTCTTGGTTTACCTTACCTTGGCTTGATATCAAGAGATCCCCAAATTTTCCACATCTTAATTTGTGAATGAACAGTACTGACTTGCATGCTCAAAGCTTTGGCTATCTTTTTATATTCTTTCCCACCTTTATAAAGTTCCATTACCTTGCTACACAGGTCTTTAGACAGTTCTTTTCTGCTACCCATGGCTCAGTGTCTAGCCTGCTCAGTGCATCCACGTGAGAGCTAACAAATTCCTTGATTTTTCATTCACAGACACTAATTGCAATTTAAAAAGCCACAGAAATGAACCTCTTATTGCCATTTTATCCCGTGTGTGTCACCTTGTGTGTCTGTACCAAGGCCAAACATTCCAGGGCATGGAAACATTTGATCATGGCCATTTGGGTGATTTATGTTATCATTACAGTATGATTTAAAAAGGAGTCAAACAACTATATGATAGTAAATGGCTTTATATGATTACAATCCCTAAAGAAAAGACAGTTTTTTGGCATGATCAGTCATTTTTTAAGTATTAGTGCCAAAATTTCATTATTTCTGCCAGAGTATGCAAACTTTTGAGCACAACCATATATATGTATATATATATATATATATATATATATATATATTTTTTTTTTTTTTTTTTTTTTTTTTTTAATTTAATTTAATTTATTTTTTTCCACCAATCTGATCTCCAGTTGCCCCAGTATAAAACACTAGCACCTCGCATTTCAGCTGCTAAACTCATTAGTAGAGGTGGCCAATTTATCTGCAGGGTTTCTTCTATTACCACAACTCCATTTATTGAGATATTTAAAGGGGCATCATATTTTTGTGGCCCCCACCCTTGCAGTACAGAACAGCAGCATTTGCAAAGCCTGGAGTATGTCTGATGTGCTGGAGAACCTTTGCATTTGCTATCGCTAACTGCTACTACTATTAATACTCAGCTCTATCTACAGTAATATTGTCATCATTTATGTTGACCTCATCATAATACTCAAAATCATAGCATTAATATAGCATAGCACATTTTCAAGCATTTTCTTTTATTTGTGGCAGTAGTGAGTACTCACAGAAGGTACTTGTTGGCACTTCCTCATTCATCACCTAGGCACTTGGTATCTCCTAGGAGGCTAAAGGACCAGGGGACACACAGCAGCCAGGGGGTGTGACTAGTGCACATCATCAGGGGCTGGTTGCCTGAACCCAGAAGAGGCAGCCAACTCCCACCAGTGAGCAGGACCAAGATGGTGGGATGGTGCTTAGGCTTTGCCACCTGAACAGTGGGACAAAGCTGGACTGGCTGGGGGTGTGAGTATGTGTTATGAAGAGAACCCAACAATACTGGTAAGGGGGGAAACACATAGGGAGTGAAGTTCCTTTTTAGGGAAAGACGTGTGCATTGCCTTGTGTGTTGTGCTGATATATACGCTTTGCATACATTTCCATTTAACTCTACATTACGGGTGTTTTCATAAAAGCACAACTTTGTGTACCGAACCACAACACAGCCACAATATGAAAAAATATTCAACCCTTTGGCGCCAACTGTCTCCCAGCCCTTTAAGGGCTCTAAAAGGCCTTTGGATCTTGTGACCGCTGTGATTGGCTGTCACAGCGGTCACATGATAGGAAAACTCCTGATTGCAAGTATGCAATGGGAACTTACTGATCACCGCCGGCTACCGTGCTGGGAGCATGCAGGAAGCACGCTCTCAGCATAGTAAGTCGTTTCAACAGTAGGTAAAGGCAATTATGGTCACTAAAAATGTATAAATTTCCCAATGTCCAACCAAGTAAAAATAAATATTTAAAGTCCTTCCAAAGTTCTCCGTGTACCCTGATAGAGTCTCCTGGGGGGAGGTAATTATGCATTGGGTCCGAAGGGGTATTTCACTTTAACCTCTTGCCGACCGCGCATAGCCGAATGACGGCTTCACCGCGGCCGGCCAGTTCTGAGTGGACGTCATATGACGTCCTCCCAGAACGCGCTCTCCTGCGCGCCCCAGGGGGCGCGCACCCGGCGATCTCCGTGATCGCTGTGTCCTACGGACACAGCTGATCACGTGATGTGGTGAAAGGCCGATCCCACCGGCCTTTTTTCCACCACGTGATCAGCGGTGTCCAATGACACGCTGATCACAGGGAAATGCAAGTGCCGGTTCTCGGCTGCACTTTCCTCACGCTGTCAGATCGTGAGGAAAGTACTGCCGAGAACCCCACCCAGTTGTCAGAGCGGGGATCGGCACCGATCATCAGGGCACTGATGATCAGTGCCCTGATGATCGGTGCCCAGCAGTGACACCCGCAAGTTCCGCCCAGCAGTGCGTCCACTAGCCCCGCCCACCCAAAATCATAGTTCCCAGCAGTGCCCCCACCTGTGCCCAGCAGTGCCCCCACCTGTGCCCAGCAGTGCACCCACCTGTGCCACTCTGCAGTGCCACCTACCTGTTCTACCTGTGCCCTAGAAGTGCCACCTACATGTGCCCAGCAGTGCCACCCACCTGTGCCCACCCACCTGTGCCCACCAGTGCCACCCACCTGTGCCCACCCACCAGTGCTGCCCACCCCACCAGTGCCACCCACCAGTGCAGCCCAGCAGTGCTGCCAGTCAGTGCCACCAGTCAGTGCCCAGGGGTTGTGCCAGTCAGTGCCGCCAGTCAGTGCCCAGAAGTGATGCCAGTCAGTGCCGTCTATCAGTACCCATCATCAGTGTCACCTATCAGTGCCGCCTATCAGTGCTGCATATCAGTGCCGCCTATCCGTGACCCCTAATTAGTGCTGTCTATCAGTGCCGCCTATCCGTGCCACCTCATTAGTACTGCCTGTCAGTGCCCTTTAGTGCTGCCTATCAGTGCCCATCAGTGCCGCCTATCAGTGCCCATCAGTGCCGCCTCATCAACGCAAATCAGTGAAGGAGAAAAAAATACCTGTTTGAAAAATTTTATAAAAGAAACAAATAAACTTTTTTTTTTTTCAAATTTTTTGCACATTTTTTAATTTATAGCGCAAAAAGTAAAGCGCCCAGTGGCGATTAAATACCACCAAAAGAAAGCTCTATTTGTGAGAAAAAAATGATCAAAATTTCATATGGGTACAATGTTGCATGACCGCGCAATTTTAAAGTCAATCAAAGTGCGGCAGCGCTGAAAGCTGAAAATTGGCCTGGTAAGGAAGGGGGTATAAGTGCCTGGTAGGCAAGTGGTTAAGTTAGGTGTGGTTTTGTTATATATAAATAGTTTCAACATGGCCGCATATATGCTGGCGGCCAATATCAACATGTTAAAGTGATTCTAAAGACAGAAGGTTTTTGTACCTAAATGCGTCCTGTGGATTAAGGTGAAAAAACTTTCCACTGTCTGTGCCTCCCCACACTTCCCTAAACACTTACCTGTGCCATTTTCAAACTAGCATTGTCCCCAGCAGCAGCCCCACTCTACTCTCTTCCTGCATTCACGGACTTGGCTGAGAGCAGCGGGAGCCTTGGGAGCTGTTGTCAGTCAAATCCAGTTAGCGGGAGCTGGGGCAGAGCCAGGACAGGTTGTGCATGTCTATAGATGCACACAGCCCAGCTGGGGATTGAGCCTACATGAGTGCCCCCATAGTAAGCGGCTTGCTATGTGGGGTCCTCGTAGAAGAGTAGGAGCTTAGAGCGCCAGCATGGGACCCCAGAAGAGGAAATGTTTGAACGTTCTGTGCAATACAAATGCACAGAACAGGTAAGTATAACATGTTTGTTACTTAAAAAAAATAGCTTTGCAAAACACATTTACACGACTTTTTAGCAGTTTTTAATAGGTAATGTTTAACCAGAACACTGTAATTATTACCTCTCAGAGGTGGTCTTCAAAGTCAGGCCAAGCTAAAGTACTTTGAACTTCCAGACATTCTTAGAAAGGACAAGGTGAAGGGGTTGATTTGGTTGATTTGTTTACCACGTCAAGTATCTCTCTCTGGACATGTAGGCAGCGAAAAGAGTTCAGCCATCTTTGTGTTCAAAACAATGAAAAGGGAAAGTCAGCCTCACAAGAAAGACTAAACAAATCTCAGCTGAGTGCAACTGAAAGGCTTAAAGGATTGTTCCTCTGAAAGACAGGCCTCCATATTTTCTGCACCCTCTTCGAAATGGCTGCTTCCTCCTGACTAGAAAAAACAACTTAGTGAATGTTGAAGGAAAAGTCACCATCATCATTATCTGTAGAGGATAAAAAGTCAAAAGTAAACACTTCCAGTTTTCCATCACAAAAAGTAAATCTAAGCCTCCATTGGACAACAGTTTTCTGAAGTGTGAGATGGGGAAACAGCTCTCATTGTTTGAACACTGTTTGTGCGGAAGTAAATTAATGTTTTGACTGACATTCTGCGGTTTAGCCACAAGATGTCACGGTTTTTTCTAACACAGCCTCAGACTGCATAGATATTTGTATATTCATGAAGAGGTGGGGTTTTGCATGCAGAGTTGGAGAGAACAGGAAGGAGAGAGAGAAGCCATGTTTTGGAGCATGGTGAATAAGGGGCCATGTGAGCTGAGAATCTGATGACATCCAGGTGTGAAAGCGTCCCTCAGTAAACAGAGATTGGTGCCAGGAATGCTGATGAGATTGCTGTCAGGAAGCTGATGAGATTGCTGCCAGTAATGCTGATGAGATTGCTGCCAGGAAGGCTGATGAGAGCAGAGGAACTAAGCAACTTATGCGGCAAGACCGCATGCTTGTTGGAGAGACATTTGTTCTGTTCAGAGTCACCAGCGAATACAAAGCAAACCCGGGTCGGTAAGATCGTGCACGCACCTCATTTCAGTGTTGGCGCCTTGAGACTGAGTCCAGGCCTATAGTTAGTTAGTTAGGGTCTCTGTTTGTGTCAGGCCACAAGTGTTGTTACTGATTATTGGAAGGACTCCACAACTTAAAGTGACATTTCACACTGGAGAGCTGATAAAATCCTACAAACTCAAGCCAGACTGGCGTTTTGCTCAGAAGGAATACTCAGGCACGTGCTACAGAACCAGTTATGGGAGGGGCAATACTGTAGATTTGTGTAAGATTGTAAGCTGTTGTGCTGCACTGCAGGCTAGCCCATACCGTACACCCATACACTGATTCCTGCTCTTTTAGGGTAATAACAGGTAAGGTGTGGCAGCTCAGTTGTGCCCGCCAGTAGGTAAATTACTTCACTTTCTACCTTCATCCATCAGAAGGCGCTGTGCTGTGCAGCACAAGGGTCTCAGTCTTTGGGCTGGGTGTATGTAAATTTATTGTATGTTTCCAGCATTTGTGGTTGTGTTTATTTGCCACATCTAAGTAAAATTCTGTTGTGGCAAAAGCTGGTGTTGGGGTTGCTTTCCTCGTTCGTGACTTCACTGTATCCTGGGGAGCCCACCCCGCTACACGGCTTACAGAAGCATCACGTGTCATAAACTACTGCCATGTTTTTTTTTCCAATAAACACTGTTCCACAATTTTTGGTTGCATCTCAGTGCTCCTGGTATCCTCCAGCCACTTCCTCTCTACTTACACATGTTCCAGTGGTGGCCGGGTTTTGGCAGGAGGGTGCCGACAGCCTCAGCTAGACCTAGTGATGGTGTGGCTCCATTGAGGTAGCTGTGGTTGGGAGTGATCCCTCTTAGACATGTGTAGAACGAAAACATTTGTTCTGTTTTGGTTTGTTTCGGATGGATTTTTTGAGTTACTAATTTCTTTTTGATGCATGCGTAACAAAGTTAGTTTTGTTTATTCGTTTTCAACCAGATTCAAATTTAACCAATGTATTCAAAGAACAGGCGTACCTCGGTTTACGAATGCCTCAGTTAAAAAAAATCTGAAGAATATATTTAAAAAAAATTTATTTTTTAAAAATATATTCTTCAGATTTTTTTAACATATAAAAAAGTAATTTTAACATATTTTTACATATATTTTTTTTTAAATGCATTCCAAAAATGTAGATTTGTATTTTTAAAGACATACAGTATATTTTGAATGTGTTTTTAAAAATATTTTTCATATATTTTGTAATAAAAAAGGCATTTCAACATGCAGTATATATATATATACATATTTATTGAAATATATTTTGAAATATATTGAATATGGCCAAAATGTTAGTATTTCAAATATATGGCAATATATTTGGGAATAATATTTTTAAAATATATTTCAAATATATTTTTCTTTCATATGGGTTATATAATTTTCCTTACAAATAGAGCTTTCTTTTAGTGGTTTTGATCACCACTGGTTTCTTGCTAACTAAAAAAAGAAACATTTTGAAAAAATGAAAAAAAGAGTTTTCTTCCTTTCTGTATAAAATTTTGCAATTTTTTTTTAACCCAAATCCAAATCAGTATATATTATTTAGTCTGTAGTAAAGTTAAAGAGGCTACCAGCTATAGTGTACAGTATATATTTGAAAATTGATCAGTCTTGATGTACTGATGGATTTTCTCATTTCTTGAGGCCTGAAAATGCCACGACAGTTCAAATACCCCCCAAATGACCCCCTTTTTTTAAAGTAGACAGTCCAAGATATTTACCGTAGTAAGAGGAGGCATGGTGAGTTTTTTTGAAATTTTTTGTCACAATTTTTTTTTTTAACATATTGTCACCAATGCAGTACAACGTCATATAACTGATGCATAGTTGGCAACATTTCCCCAAAAAATTTTAGGGACACTTTTTTTTATTGTATGTCCAGAAAGCCAGCATAGGGAGAGCAATATGTAAATTAGGGGTGGGGACATCAATCGTGGGCGTGGCCTGGAGATAAAAAATATGGTAGAGCACACTGCACCAAAAAGTGGGTGTGTCTTAAATTACTCTAAATGTCGGGCGTGGCTTAATGGGGGGGTTAAATAGAGTCTGAGATTTTCTCCACCATGCAATTTTTCTTTCCACTCCAACAGCCCAAAAAAACAAATAAACACACACATAGACTTATCTAAAAAAAAAACTTTAATAATATAAACATAAAGAACTAGTCCACACTCAGTGATTGGTTGCTACAGGTTACAGCACATTACCTCTCACTGATTGGTTGTTAGAGGTTACAGCACATTACCTCTCACTGATTGGTTGCTAGAGGTTAATGCCGTTAGTACAGGGGAGGGTCAGAGACTGCAGAAGTAGCACAGGAGATTGTCAGAGACTGCAGACATGGCACAAGGGATGGTCAGAGTACAGCTTGCTCCACCATAAATATCACAGTATATGCTCCACCACCCACACATACACACAAACTCTGCACCCCCCCCCCCCCCACACACACACACACTCTGCATCCCCCCCCCCACACACACACACAAACACACACAACTCTCTCTCTCTCAACTTACCTCTACTACACTATTGGTCAGTCCACAGCCGTTCACAGCGTGTCCATCATTGTTTGTTGGTATTGGTGTGTCAAGAAAAGTGGAGAAACAAAAAGCCAAATCTGACACATTCCATGGAAAACCCCGAAAATGGACTGGACAAAATTATTGGCACCTTCTTGGAATTGTAAGAAATAATTGCATTCCAAGTTTGTGATGCTTCTGTAATTTGCAATTAAACTCACCTGTATCCATTAATAGATCTTAATGTTCCTCTGTCCACTGTGCGCAACATTGTCAGGCAGCTTACAGC